CGGGTTTCAATCATTCCCTTCGACTTGCCTGTCACCCGACCGTCCTTAACTAAGGTGGTTTCAGTCAAAATCAAATACGGGGAGGGAGGGGGTGGGGCATCGAAGGGAGGTTTCAGCCGCCAGGAGGACCACGTGGGACGCCGATACCGCCGGGAGCACAGAGCGGGACATCGTGAGACAACGCGGGACGTCGGCTGGGAGACAGCAACTAGGAGTGTTGTTGTGTTTGAGCAAAGTGTTTAAATGATTGAGTGTCGTCATAAAGTTTCGGTCCGCGCCTACGGGGCTGTGGGCGTTCCTTTCGGACACACGAGCCCGCGCACCCAGTGAACGAAGGTTTCAGAACACTCGGACAGTGTCGTAAAGTTTCGGTCCGAGCGGAGACTGTTAGCGTTCGTTCGGACAAGCAAGCCCACACCTCCCAGTGGGTGTAAGTGTGCCTGTGTAAGCCAATGATTATAACGAACAGATGATTCGCCTACAGGCCCTACACAGTGCTTGTGTGGGGGCAGCAGTGAACGAAGAGTTTCGAAACGCCGGGAGTACTAGTGCTGCCGCAAACCCGTAACATCAATCCATGATAACAACTGCAGCACCATCACATAATGGGAACACCACAACAACCACTACAATGCCAACACGTGGTAACAATACGTTACATCCACAATAATATTAAATTACGACATATACTATACACCACAGTTAAGCATAAACAGACCAATAACACTATTTCTTGACGTGCAAAATGATGCCCTCATTGGGTTCAAACAGTGTGCAACCAACCACCTTGCTCGCACGCGCATTCGCTCAAGGTTATTGAGGATTTTACAGCTTGTATATTCAGACTATTTCTATGTTTCCTTTAATTAATTCCACCTTTGAAAAGTGCGCTCTGCATCAGCATTGGATGTTAGAAGTGACAACACTTCCATTGCAAAATGTCCAAAACATTTATATTTTGCATCTTCCTCTTCATTTAAAAGGCTAATGACATGTTTATAAAATTGCTGACTTTTGGGGTGTCACCTGTCCCCACAACTTATTGTTTAGTTCGAATCTTTTCCGTATTTCCATATTCACTACTACTAGAAATTTCTGCACCGCATCCTTGTCAGTGATCATGCTGCTCTTATTATAATACTCTCGCCTTAGTGAGGTGGCATGTAATTGCGATCCCAAATATATCTGATTGACTGGTATTTATAGGGAATCATCTGTTGGATCAATATCATGCATTTGGAGTTTTGACACGCTATGCAAATGGCAAAAGGAGTTTAACAATAGCTTATGCAGTTGACATATGCTATCATGGATTAAATGCAAAGTTGAGGCTGTACTGGAAAAAACATACATTACAGCAGCACTGGTCGGGACACTGTCATATGAGTGTGGACCACAGGTTGCGAGTGTTCCTTTTCGTACAGGCAGAGCTGCCGCCCGCTACTGAGGTTCGCAAAAGAAAGGAAAATTGATTCATCACCACCGGGTATAAGGCAACAAATAACCTACTCAACGAAGTACCCGGTAAGTGTGATTAAATTTACTTAATATCACACTTGTAACACCGTAAGCAACCGGCAGTGAAGTGCCACTTGTAACACCGTAAGCAACCAGCAGTGAAGTACCACTTGTAACACCGTAAGCACCCGGCAGTGACCTGCCACTTGTAACACCGTAAGCAACCAGCAGTTACCTGCCACTTTTAACACTGTAAGCTACCTGCAGTGATCCACTTGTAACACGTAAGCGACCGGCAGTGACCTGCCACTTGTAACACCATAAGCAACCGACAGTGACCTGCCACTTGTAACACCATAAGCAACCGACAGTGACCTGCCACTTGTAACACCGTAAGCAACCGACAGTGACCTGCCACTTGTAACACCGTAAGCAACCGACAGTGACTTGCCACTTGTAACACCGTAAGCAACCAGCGGTGATCTACTATCGTCAAACAAATACAAGCAGCGAGCCGCACCACTGAATGCAAATACAGACGGTGAGCAGTGGTTCATCGAACAAACTTTGAGACCTAACCGGAGCTGTAAATAATTCTCAATAAAAGGACAAGAGGTAGAAGTTGTCCCTCCAGAGCTGAACGACCACGACTTTACAGCAACAGAAGGGGGTCACCCTCTGCCTGAACCAAAATCCCGGGTCCAACATGATGGCAGAAGTGCAACGAACTGAGACTGAAATGCTGGAGGCGTATTTCACAAAGGGGGAAGAAAGGGAAACAGCACGACGTTTGGAGTCTGGGAACGTCAAATCCGAACAGTCAGGAAAGTTCTCAGAGCAATTGTGGGGAGCCAAGTCCTGAAGGAATACCGACTGCAGACACTATTTTGTGAAGTGAAAACAATCATAAATAGTCGACCCATCACCCCTGCCTTGAGTGATGTGAGAGACCTGGAAGCGCTTACACCAGCCCACATCCTCCATGGTGGCCCACATGTTGATCTGCTACTGGAAGGATGTCTTCTGAAGGAGTCATATCAACGACGGTGGCGGCATGTGCAGTTCCTAGCAGACCGCTTCTGGAAACTCTGGGTGAGGGAGTGCCTTCCACTACTCCGCAGAAGACAAAGGTACATAAAACCAACCCGTAATCTCCAGGAAGGTAACGTTGTCCTCATCACTGGAGAACTTCCTTGCAACAAATGGCCATTGGGCAGGGTCACGGCAGCAGTCCCAGGAGCCAATGGTCTCGTGCGCCAGGTGCGTGTGCGAACCGTATCTGGGGAGTTCCGAAGGCCAGTGACCCGTGTATGCCTTCTTGAACACGTCACATTGTAAAATCTTGGGCCATTGCCCAATGCCGGGAGTGTTATCACCGCTGGCTTCAGCTACACAGAACTGGCATTTGCTGCCTGCCTCCCAGCGGCTCAACCGATGTGCCGTCTTCGAGTGTCACCTTACCCAAACAAATATAAATCTCTCAGCCTACGACCCCGTGCCTCGTGACCTGATGTAGGAGAGGAGAGGAGAGGGGATGTTTACAGCCAAGCGGTCCTGTTTTCTGCTGAATAAACAGTTCGGCAGGTGGCGTGACTGTCTGGCCTCTACAGCCATACTGAGAGCAACTCCCAATCCTGTCCCTGAGTTTTGTGCCAAGACAATTTACGCAGTACTGTTGTCTCTTGGAACACCACACTGATTTACATCGACCCGCACTTGTAAGTACACCCTACATGATGACGTACCCCTCAGTGCCGAAATATTGTGGACTAATTATGCCTGCTCGTTTCTGCCTTACCTGGAGCAAGAAGACAAAGTGGAATGAAGCGTAACTAAGATTAATAGAGTTATGAACTTTGTATTATATCACTATGTTTAACGATGTAGTTAAGATAAAATTGTGTGAGACTAACTAATTATGTATCAGATGGATCACCATGTAATACTAATGAACGCCGTGTTCTCTGTAGGTTTTTTACCATATAAATAAATATTGAGTGCATCAAAAGGCGGGTTTCAATCATTCCCTTCGACTTGCCTATCACCCGACCGTCCTTAATTAATGTGACAACAACAACACCAACACCAACAACAACAATTTGTTAATAAAAATAATTATAATTATTATTAGGATGTTAATATAATTAATTGATAAAAATTAATGGTTATTGAAAAAGTTCAGCAGCCAAAGGGCTAAAAATATACAGTGGGCAGAAATTACTTATTATTGTACCTACAAAGTCATGGGGTGGGTGGGCCGTTTAACAAAAGCTTTCATTACTAAAGGAGAAGGATTATAAATTGAACATTAAAGTTATAGTTTACAGTTGATGGCAGGGGCTGGTTTCTTGCCCTTCTGTGTGAGGTCACGTAGGCCACGTGGTGCAGTAACTGGTCCATAGATGTTGATATGAAGGACTTCACGTGGTCCTGGTGACACCGTGTGGCGTGGTCACAATCCCTCACACTGTTAAGTGGTGTTGTGATATCTGAAGTCTCACAATCGCAAGATAAAGTTTTAGGATAACCTCGTTAGTCATGTAACTAACACTCCTTTGTATGAACCCAAGTACTTTGTTAGCCTTGTTTCGAGAAAATACACATTGTCGTCTTGGTTTAAGATTCCTACTTATTATTCCTAAATCTTTCTCACAGTCGGATTTCTCTATATCAACGTTGTTCATCTGATATCTGGTTTCTCTGTTCACATCTCCTAGACTAAGTACTTTACATTTGTCCACATTAAATTTCATCAGATTTTTTTCAGACCATCCGAAAAATCTATTTAGATCTTCCTGTAGCTTTGCCGAGTCCTCGTCAGATTTAATATACACGCTCTATTTTAGTGTCGTCGGCAAATTTACTTCTGTTGCTGTCTACGCCTATATCTATGTCGTTTATGTACATAATAAATAGAAATGGCCCAAGTACTGATCCTTGGGGTACTCCACTAGTGACGTTACCCCAATCGGATTTAGTGCCGTTTATGCTTACTCGCTGTTTCCTGTCCTGTAAACACGCCCCGGTCCATTTTAGAATATCTCCTCCAATTTTATGAGCCTCCACTTTTCGGATTAGTGTTTCGTGGGGGAATCTGTCGAAGGCTTTGCTATAGCCAAGGTATACAACATCATAATCGAGTCTGTCGTCCACTCCTTTCTGAAACGAAATTGTCACCTTTGGCGGGATTTTTTTGACATTGAATGGGGGAGGAGGGTTTGAGGGGAGGAAGTTGGGGAATGAGCCAACATTGGCCCTGGCAGCTGCCACAGCCATAGCAGCACCGGATAAGTCTTGACTTTCCGGTGGTCAAGAGTGTGTGAGTGTGTGTGTGTGTGTGCTATATTATCCAATAATATGAGGTATGAACTCTGTTAAATCTCTCACAGATGCCACAGAATGATACACAACCATGAACCTTCATATTGAAAATATCTGAATTTACGGGTAGAGAAGAACCCAGTGTATAGTGACTGTGCACATATTGCTGTACATATAACACGTTGTCTAACACCCTAATAGAGTCTTCCTGCTCCATACAGGCACTCGGGGGGCATCGAAAACCCTGGTTACATCCCTGACGGGACGGAAATGGGGGATGGCGTGCAGACAGATTTGAGGGAGGATGGGTCGGGATCAGCTTGCCACGCCTCCGCCAGACGACTCTCTCAGCGCCCCAACTCGACGGAGTGCGCGTGGCTGGAGAGCTCCTTGAGCGGCCCCAAGCAGCACTACAGGGCCCAGGAAACTTACTTCGACTGCGAGTTCTACATCTACGGACACAAATATCAAAGTGAGTGATTGTTGTGATGTATCTACGGGTTCTTCTGTTGTAGTCATATAAAATTAAGTAATGGATACTTCTGCTTATTAATATTTGTGTAATGCATTTATCAAGAATGAATGACAAGTACATAGTTTCCTATATACGGGTACTCTTAACATTTACAACCCCATAAGACGATAGATCTCGGACTTAAACAATAAATACCTGTTATTGGTTCAATAAGTTAGAGAACATTTGTCTAGTTTTCCTAACTTATGAAACGTAACATAGTAACGCCCATAGTTTTAAACACCCTCTTCCGTTGAAGAGAGTCGTCGTGTTTCAACCCGAGCTTTAAAAATAACCGAGTCCCGAAGGACACCACAGTACAGTACTTGACGGGATGGTGTGGCGGTAAAATTAACTAATTCCAATCTTATAAATTAATTTTATTGGAATTAGTTAATTTTACCACCACACCACCTCGTCAAGTACTGTAGTTCGGTGTCTCAGGATTTTTTTTTTTTTTTTTTTTTCAAACTCGAGTTGAAACACGACGACCCTCTTCAACGGAAGAGGGTGTTTAAAACTCCGGGCGTAAGGATCTTGAGGAACTGCTGCTTGGGTGTACCTGGCTCTTTCAAGGTGTAGGCCAGGACACTTTTTGCATTCTTTCGCATAGTTAACTTATCAAACAGAGCTGGGGGATGCTTTCCCAACTCATGCTGCAGGTACTGCCCCATCTCTTTCTGCTCCATTATCACGCATGCCACTCATAAACAGCAATGTGCTATTGACTCCCGCTTCTAGGCCACGCAAGGCCACATTGCTGCTCGCTGCGCTTATGGCCTTGACACGGTCTCTCCTCTTCAGCGTAGTTGCCACCTGTAATTAAATATGCGAGCTTTTTACCGATGCCATATGCTTGATCACCATTTGCCGATTGATCAGCAACAATGCCATATGCGATGGACACCATGGCTTCGGTTTCTGAGTTGGAGAAAAAGGGAATGAGTCCTCCACCAATTCAGACACGTACCATAGACCATAGTCCTTAACATCATGAAAAGTGCAGCAGACGCGGAGGTCGTTGTGCTGATTCGAAGTCAGCGTGTGGACACCACATACAGTAAGTCTCCAAGAGCATTGCAGACAGGCAAACACCTAGGCAGTACATGCACTAGTTTTACCAGGGTGGAGTAACGGTGGCCGGTAATAAAGTCACAGGAAAAAGAGTCACAGAAAAAAGTCACAATTTTGGCTAGGAAAAAAGTCACAGGAAAAAAAGTCAATTAATTTATGGTGGCCGGTAATAAAGGCTAGGTTAGGTTAGGTTAGGTTGACATATTAACCTTAAAAAATGTGAGAATTCGATAGTTAACTTTTCTTTTTTTCCTGTGACTTTTTTACCTGGATTCGGAGTAACACCTCGGCCACTCGACAAACCTCCGGGAGCCTCGAGCATTCGCGTGAAAATTTGATCAATAATTTGATCAGTGAAATTATCACTCCAGAACTTGTAAATTCTTCTAATTAAGAAGAAGCCATTTTAGGTGAATTTCTCCAGCTGATATTTACTTATGATATCTGGGAACTTCTGCATGGAATCCAGATACCTTCTGCTACAGCGTGCAAATGCAACATGCCCGGCTGTATGAAGAACGGGGATCATCTCCGTGACAACATACTGATGGAGCTCCCAGTCACCAGTACGCTCTGCGCGAATGAAGATCAACACACGTACTTGACGGAGATAGCGGAACCACAACTTACCAGCACGACTCTCTCTTGACAGATCCCCAAAAGGTTATACATGATCTGTGTGAGTTGAGTGACCAGTCTTTCCTTCAATACGATGTTGGTAGCACACTCAGCATTTAGAATCATCTGATGTATATCTTGCAGGTGTTTCAGATTGACCCCATTCAAGCAGCCGGGGTTCTCTAACATCACCGTAGTAAGGGCCACTACAATGAGAAAAACGCGTGAGTATAAGTATAACCAGTCATGTGCTCGACAGAGTTAAGGGCATAAACTGTTTTCCAGAGATACTCGAGACCACTGCCATCCATTGTAATTATGACCAAGTGAGCCCATGCAGAACATGATGAGGTGAAACCCTCCGAGTCTAACAATGATCCGGTCAACCTCAGGCGATGCTTGAACTATGTCATCTGTGGTTGTCCCCATACCCATGTTTTGCCTCTATCTGGGTTCGTGCAAACAAAAGAGCTGTGTAGATAGTACAACCAAAACCTCGTTGTAGACATTAATTCCATCATCGTCTGATGAATAATAACAAAATTATGACGACTTCAATGTTTTAGACACATCATAAAGGCGGCCATCTTGCATTTTATTAATTACGGTACATCCCGTTTCATTTCTGATGATTTGATTGCTTCCTCGAGCTCCAAAACCTGGGAATAGACACCAAAAACACCTCTGTCCCATATAATAACCAAGAGAGTTATGATAGATTATGTGTGAAGTATAACACCACTCAACCATGACAGCGGCCATCTTGAAAAAAAAAAAGATGGCACAGCGGGAACCCTTAGGGACTTTTCACCATTGGACTCCGTGGGCAACCAGGTAACTTCCCATAAAAAAAAAAGGCTTTTCATATTTTCTTCCGGGTGGCTATTGACATCTGTTCTAAAGCATTTGCAGTGACGACCTCGGTTCCTTATTTTTCTTAAATTTCAACTTATTATTACCCTGTGGCTAGTTGATAGTTAATTTTATTTGTTATGTCAGGTAGAGAATGGAGTAATACAATTCATATTGGCGTGTTGTAAATACTTATTTAAAAGTGCGATGACTATTCTTCTGCCAATTTTGATAGCATTTGCTGGAGAGTGTCTGCGTGTTATATATATATATATATATATATATATATATATATATATATATATATATATATATATATATATATATATATATATATATATATATATTCCGAAAGTGTAATGCTCACACTGGTAAATTAAGTAAAAACACCACATTGGAGAAATAAAAGTTGAAATATGTATATTGATTTTCTGTAATACAAAGGACAATCAAATTCTGTGATGCAGCTTTGAAGAAACCTCCCTCCGTCCCCCCCTTCACCCTCAGATAAGAAGATTACTCCCTCCCTCGCCCCAGTCTTATCCCTCTCTCACCCCTCGTCCATCCCTCCCTCCCTCCTTTCCTTGTCCTTCCCCCTTCCCTCCTCCCTTGTTCCCTCGCGCCCTGCTTTCCTCCAGTATATCAAGATCCCTAACGTCTTCTAGGCTACCACCAACCTCGCTCCTTACAGCTACCACTACCACCCTCCTTTAACATGGTACCCTGCACACTACACCACCACCACAACGGTGCCCTACACACTACACCATCAGTGGTGTCCTACACCACCACCATCAGTGGTGTCCTACACACTACCAATAGTATACGAGACATGGCACCATACACTCCCTCTCCACCTCTAGTGACACTCGTGGCACCACCAAAGGAGAGGGTCTTCCGCTCCAGCATACTTACCTCCCTGAGGAGCTCTCACACCTGTGTTATGAGACCTACCGCCATACACTGCCGCCACCCTTGTTACCCTTATGCTTGCAACTTGTCGACTTTAGTGTAAACATCTATACCTAAAGAACGAAGGAAAAGAACTGTGCAACTAATTAAATTCATTTTTATTTTACCTTTGAATTACTATAATGTTAAGGAAGGAAACCCGTGTTAGTTCACGGCACAGTAATGAGGAGCGGCAAGAGGAGGATAGTGCACTAGTCAACATAGGTGGTCGTCAGTAGTGTCGTCTTGCATTGTATCCAACTCTTGGTCAAAATGGCATTTCAATACTTAGACTATGAACAGTCTTGTGTGAATTTAGTGACCACACCATTTACTTAGCCATCAGACAGTCACTACTCTATGGTGTTTAACAGTCACTACTCTATGGTGTATTTAAACTGTTAATAAATCAGACAGTTTAATTGTAATACAGTCTGCTTCACGGCCACTCTATCTAACTGTCTTTATATTGATCAGTCTAATTACTAAGAGAACGGTTTTCAAGTGACCAGACAGTTTCTGTTGAGTCTGTTTACTGATCACAAACTGTATGATGGAGATCACACTTGGCCACCCTCCCAAGTAAAACACACACACACACACACACACCTTACCTAACATAATCAAAGACCTCTTGACGGATGCAGGTTATGAAGGGCCCTCGTCCTGACAAACGCCAGTCCCAGCAGGTCCCTCACCTGCCCTGATTAATATGACCGGATCCCATTGCGATTGAACCGTCTGAGGATTTAACCCTATTAGAAGTGAACCGTATTAAAACTGGGACCCAATTATACTTAGTCCTAATCATAATAGTTAGGGGATTTTAGGTTGGGCTCTATTGCAACTGGGACGTGATTGATCTGAACTCGCTTAACTTCACACAACTATCCCAAATTAGTTGAGGTTCTTGAAATCCTGGGTCGGGGAGGAGGTCAGTGGAGTACGCCGCACAGGTGCAGCCTGCTGCACCCGTGTCCTGCAGTGACCCGTCGGTGTAGACAAAGTTGAAGTCCCCTGGGATGACTTGTGACTTCATTTATATTTTGCGATGATGCTTTTTGTTGTTCTATTGGATGGTCATCTCTCTTGGGGTCAGTGTAGTGTAGGATCAACAGAGTGACGGCCCATAGTTCTCGCCCGTCATCTCTATATCTGAGGCTCCACTGTAGTGACATCCACCATCCTGTTATAGTGACGTCCATCACCCCGCTGAGACGACGTCTATCACCCCTCTATAGTGACTACCACCTCGCTATAGTGTCGCTACCACCACGCTATAGTGTCACTACCACCTCGCTATAGTGTCACTACCACCTCGCTATAGTGTCACTACCACCTCGCTATAGTGACTACCACCTCGCTATAGTGTCGCTACCACCACGCTATAGTGTCACTACCACCACGCTATAGTGTCACTACCACCTCGCTATAGTGTCACTACCACACCGCTATAGTGACTGTGGGTTAAAAAGCACGTGAAACGCCAAAGTTGCTAATCGAAAACAGATAAGCTAATTTTCAACCCCCACCAAAGCAATCCATTGCCCAACTACAGACGGCGCGGTCCCCTCCGTTCATCCGACGGTAACGCTTTAACTAAAAACCAAGAGAGTATCCTTCTGTGCTGGAAAGAGCACTACCATTCCCTGCTCAACCGAAATACCGATGTGATGTCCTGACTACCCAGCAGGTCCATCTGCACTCATCCCGTGATGAGGTACAGTAGCTACTGTCATCAAGCAGATGAAATAACAAAGCCAGAGGGCCTGATGGAATCCCAGGCGAGGTGTATAAAGCAAGGTGTTCACTCTCCTGGCGGAAAACTTCTTTCCGGAATCTCAATGTGGCTTTAGACCATCTTGTTGCACCACCGACAAGATCTTTGCTGTTCGCCAGATACAGGAGCAGTGCAGAAAATAGCGCCTTGAACTGTACGTGGTATGCAACGAAAAAGGTGTAAAGATAGTCTTAAGACAAAACTGAAAAAGTGCCAAATCGACCCCTCACCTGGGAGACGATCGCTCCACACTGGAGCATTGCCACACGAGGTGTTAATACTTTCGATTTAACTCCACTACTTACTGAAGTGAACTAACGCCAGCTCTGGAAAGACGCTGCCGCCGCTACTCCACACACTCAACATCTGCGGACGACCCTGCTGGTTCCATATCACCCTCTTAAGCCACCCAGAGCTCACCAACGAAGGTGACATCACTCGTAATTCATATCATTCTGTCATCGCTGGATGATCGTCATAATCGATTTCGAGTGACAACAAAGTAGGTGTGGTGTTACGTTGTTTAGATGTTGTGTTACGTTATATAGTTGTGGTGTTACGACGTATATTTGTGGTGTTACGTTGTGTAGTTGCGGTGTTACGATGTGTAGTTGCGGTGTTACGTTGTGTAGTTGTGATTACGTTGTGGTGTTACGTTGTGTACTTGGTGCTACGTTGTGTAGTTGGTGCTACGTTGTAGTTGGAGTGTTACGTTGTTTAGTTAAGGTGTTATGTTGTCATAATAATGTTTCATTGTTACTTGTGATGTTACCTGGTGTTGTTATATTTTAGAGGATGAAAAGGAGATGCTGCCTGCTGGCCTGCACGAGTTCCCCTTCGCCTTCAGCCTGCCGCCTAACCTGCCTCCCAGTTTCAACAGTGAGAAGGGGTTCATTGGCTACATGGCCGTGGCCATCCTCGACCGACCAGCCGCCGCTAACATCGTCCAGAAGGAGGGGTTCAGTTTACACTCTATCCTCGACCTCAACATGGACTCTCATGCTAATGTAAGTACTCTAGCTCTTACTACTCACTCTCTGTATAGACTTTTCTACTAGCATAAGTACCTCCACTCTCCCATCCCACTCAGCAGCCCTTAACATGGACTTCCTTATTAACAGGAGGAAACTCGTAGGGAGAAACAACCCAGTTACCCACACTGTCCCCACACCCGCCTCTCCACTTGACTCACCACTTTTACGAAAAAACAAAAACAAAAAAGTGGCTATTAAACCGTCGGTGGCTGAATAGCCTGGTAGTCTACGTAGCCGAGACGGTTACACAGACCGCCTGGCTATTCAGCCGTGAACCCCTGAACATTTTAATAACTGTACAGAATATCTGCAACTAGACCTATGTTTAGTATGACCAGTAATGTTCATCATCTTTGCTTGTTTCAGGGCAAATATCCGGGTACTTCCACGAGAAACACTGTCCATTTTACCGAATTTCAGACAAATTTTGACACTTCTTTTTCCAACTGTGGCCAATTGTTTGTCTTTCCTCTATTGCAAATTTGTTCTTAGGCATTTGACTAAGCTGTGCAGACAGCTTCCTCCAGTTCCTAACATTCGTATCCGTGGTGTTAAAAACCAAGAATACTCACAGGTGTGTATAGTTCGGGATCTCAACAAGCAGTTGCTGTTTTATCTCATTTAGTTTCGATACGGATTCAGTTCAAAAGGAGATACGGACTTTTTGAGGGGACTGTACAGTCGCGGGCAAAAGTTCGCTCCCCGTGGTGAAACCGAGTCACGGGAATGAGTCTCCGAACTGACTTACCCTGACTGTCATCTGGTGCGGTTGTGCTGTTTTATCTCGCTTGGGGTCGATACTGCTTCAATTTGGGAGGGAGCGAACTTTTGACCCCGACTGTACTTCAGCGTTGATGATGAGAGTAGAATGTTGAGGGCTTACATACATAATATCAATAATGAAAGAATAGTATTCAGAACATTAATAAAATATAACTAACAATAGGATTATCGCCATGTGGGCCATAGGTAGAGCTGGGCCACCTGACTGAATAGCCTTGCTGTCTATGTTGGTTACCAGGCTATTCAACCGGTAACGGCTTAATAGCCACTGCTAAAAATTAAAGAGGATCACCAAAAGATTAACCACCTTAACGGTAACCTAACAACCTAACCTACCTAGACCTAATCTAAACTAGTCTAACCCCCCCCCCCCTCTCCTTCCCCCAGATAACTTTAGCGAGGGTGTCTAATTTTCAAGTGATCAATAAAAACTCTTGAATATCTTGTTCAGAATTTTTTTAGTGTCACTTTTCTACGCTGTACAGTACATTCCCTGTGTTCAGTGTTCTAGTTCCTGTTAACTCATCATCTTCCCTGTGTTCAGTGTTCTAGTTCCTGTTAACTCATCACCTTCCCTGTGCTCGGCGTTCTAGTACCTGTTAACTCATCACCTTCCCTGTGTTCAGTGTTCTAGTACCTGTTAACTTGTCATCCTGTCCTCCCACAGTCGACGACGAGCAGCAGTAAGGCCAAGAATCTGTGTTGCTTCTGCTGCCAGACGGGACCCATCACCCTGTCGGCGCGCATCCCTCGCCGAGGTTTCGTCCCGGGGGAGAAGATCTTTGTGTCTGCCGAGGCCGACAATGTCTCTGCTAGGAACACTCGCAGGACTAGACTCCTCTTACTACAGGTATGTATCGTGCTAACTGTGGAGTCAAGGGTCATGAATTCTTGTATTTCAGCGACATGAGGGTCGAAGCCCACTCTACAATATTGAAATTGTATTGCTTAATGTACTTAGAGAAAAACTGTAGTGTTTTAGGGTATTGCTAGTACTTTTTCTGTATTTTTTTGTCCTGGGATTTTCCTAGTTTTGATGTGATAATGTATTGAGAGAGACGTGAGAGAATGGTAGAAGGGGAGGCCACACAAAGCACTCATCCCTTGTAGATTTTGTAGAATTTCATTGTGATTTTTTTATCCTGTGTTGTGTTTTATGTACACATGATATCAAAAGTCCCCTCACCTTTCATGATCAAATAGAAATTGATTTATTCACGGCCAACTGACCACCACACAACTACTGCCTTAAAAACTTCTCTGGGAAAGATAAAGTTCATTCAGACTGCACCATTGTCTCTGCAGTCTCACCAGACATTCCCGAGACGGATAGTCATAGTGCACCCCACATCTTGCAAGAGTCAGACCTCAGAAATAGTGACAGTAACAGTAATGTTTCTATGGGAAACACTTGCCTGAGTGGCAACACCACTGCCAAGGGCAGCGAGCCTCCTCTCTCCTCTCCTCGCCTCCCAACCAACCAACCAACCAAGTAAATTGCATCTGCACTTTCCCAAGGACTCACTGAAAACCGCTGAGGACCAGTTTAACTGGACAACAAAGTATTAGAGACAACACGGTCTCGCCATTCAATTCCGAAAAGATAAGAACCGTAACTTTATCAAGTGTCAGACACCCGAGGTCTATGAAACGCTCAGTACTGATGGATATGACGGGGACGTCTTTCTCCCTCCAACCGCTGACGCAGCAAAATGCTGCCACATTCTACTTAAACAATTCCCCCTATACGCTGAAGTCGAAGATGCTCGTTACTTTAATCCATGTATACTCAGTATACGTCGACGCTACCGAGGGAATACCCCACAAGCAGCGGTCATAGTTAAATGGAAGGGGAGGGAGTGCCTAACCACTGTTGATGTCCACCCAGTCCTCCCTCCACTGTACGCTGAACCATATCACCCCGGGCCTGCTTTAACATAACAGTTTGGGCTGCAAATTGAGCTTCGAGTTCTTTAATTTCATTTTTCAAGTCATTGATCTCTTCATTTTGTGCGAGCATGGGAATGAGAGGCACAGATACACCACATTTCTTGACCTAAAAACTGCATTTGATATTGCCAATAGGCAACTTATATTGTACGAACTAGCCAAAATGGATATAGGAGGTAGGCTGTAACACTGGGTAAGTGGTTACCTAACCATCAGAAGGGCTGCTGCACTGTTTCAGGGTTACAAAAGCGAAGTTAATGTTATGCAGCTTGGCACCCCCCCCCCCCCAAGGTGGAGTACTTAGTCCTACTTTGTTCAATGTTCTTATGGATACATTACTAAATTCAATAACAGACAACCCAAGCAATATCACAATCAGCTATGCTGATGATATTCTTGTACATACTAAAACTCATCGTGAAATGCAAACCACCCTGAACCGTGTACATTCAGCCTGTGAGAACCTCGGTCTTATTATCTCCACTGAGAAAACTAAGGTGTTCAACAAACATGATGGTAACCGCAAACGCGGCCCCGCCAAGTTCAAGATAGGAAACAACACCATTGACTATGGTGAATCTAAATGGATCCAAACTACAGCTACACATGTGAAAATGTTGGAACTAGACATCTGGACAAAGTTGAGACACAACAGCACTGCCTTCCACCCTAGCGGACAGTTCCCTTCGATATCATAATACCGACATATCCGCCTAAAAGATTAATTATACAAAGTATTTATCTCCAACACACTGCCAGAGTGAGAGCTCTTGAACACATATACACCCTACAGACTGATGATAACATCACACAGACCATCTACACTGATGGATCTCTTCACACCGCCTGTGGGCAGGCTGGAAGTGCTATCGTTGTGACTCAACCTAACGGTAACACAATTGAAAAACCAGTTAGAATTAACAGCTGGGCATCCACTCTACAAACTAAATTAGTTGCCATACTCACAGCTATTAAATTTATTGTGACCACTGTCACTGACAGTCTCATCATCACTGATTCTCTATCCTCACGACTTGCCCTTGACACCCTCACTCAAGTTGTCACGCGCTTGTCTCTGAAGCCAGACACAAGTATACGTACCTTGTTGACCAGGGTGTCAAGATCAAACTGTTGTGGATCCCCTCTCACATAGGCCTCAAAGAAAAATGACGAGTTGATGCCCTCGCCAAACTCGCGTCTAACAAAGGCACTGTTGAATACAATCTGGGTTTGTCAAAAAAGAACTCCTAAAACTGTAATTAGGAATGAACTTGTTGATGAATTTGACGCAAGTAGACAAGTGCAAACAGGCACTAGGCAAGCCATTGTTTACCATGATGAGATGTATCAAGTGAAACATGTATATGGAACAAGTAACAAGATCACTAGATTACAAGATGTTGTAACCGCTAGACTAAGGTTAGGTTATAAGTACCTCTGACAGCATATCCCTCAAGCAGATGTAAACAAGACTAAATGTAAAGTGTGTGGCCATACATATGGCCACACACTCGAACACTACGTCCTCGACTGTGTGAATATAGAACCTTTTAGGAACAAGTCCAAGCACAGTGTATGAAATGGCACAACACTTTATCTCTAATGGCAAGATAGCCGAAATATTAAGATTGTATCCACTTTCTTGCACTTAGTAGCTACGTCAGTTCCCATGTATAGAACAAACACACAATGTGCTTGATTACATCTGACGCATATGTGAATAACAATGTGCGGCCAGACATATTGCCTCACACTCGTGTACTCACGCAGTTGCGAATGAGTTACCCTTTATGTATAGAACTAAACAAAGATTTTTTTTTTTAAATACTGTGTAACATTCAATGCCATAATATCCTGACCACGGGGGTTAGTTATACGGACCCTTTGTGAACCCTACTCTGTAATCCTCTTTGCGCTACCGCTCACAGGATGAGTAAGGAGCGCACAATAAACTAGCCGCTGTAAGTGGCAAAATTAAAACAAAATATCACTACAAACACCTACACTACACCACCACCAATACTACAACCACAGACAGCTACACCACTACAACCATCACCGCTACACCCACCACCACTACACACCTGCATCACTACCACATACCTTTACCAACACCAACAACCTTCAGTATTACAACCACCTAAAACACCAGTGCCACTACAAACACTGACACCACCACCACTACAACCACCACTACAAACACCTACACCACCATGCCCACCACTTCAACCACTTACATCACCACCACTTCTGCTACCTTCTACAGCACCGTCACCACCACTATTACCACCATCACCACTGTATATAGCAACCACCACCTAAAGGCTATTACTACAGCACCATCACCTATACCACTTGCCTCCCTCAGGTGGTAACGTACATCATGCCCAACGGCGTGAAGGATATGGTGGAGGAGAGAGTGTTGAAGGAGATCGTCCGAGGCATCATCCCGCCGGGGGAGTCAGACATGTGGGAGAACGTGGCTATCGTAGTTCCTCCCCTCGTACCTGCCAACGTCCACCTCACCTGCCGCCTTCTGCGTGTCCAGTACCGCCTCGACGTGAGTACCTACCTCCCTCCCCCACTTGGGCTGTGACGGAGCCGGGCATAACGGGTCAGGTCTGGGCGCCTCAAGTGCTCCCTCCACCACAACTGTATCAAGGACGAAAGTAAACTTGAGAACTGGTTTATCAGAGTTATAGTGCTAAACTTTAAATGTTAAGACGGTGAATGTTAACAGGGAGTCACGGAGAACCAGACGAGAGACACTTTCAGGGCTCGTCCGCATTGATCCCTGGGTCATGTTTTCACAATGACACTATTCACCTGTAAACGATATATTCCAAGATTTTCTTTTTTTTTTTACTTTATTTATAGCTTACATTATAAATTTACATATGGTACGATACTGTAGGCTACTGTACGGCTCACTAGACGAGCAGTCGCCAAGATTATTTCACCTGATGATTATATACGCTAGTACTACCTGGGAACCTAAGTTAGGTTAATATCAAGGTGAAGTAAACTGAGGGGGGTTAATATTCTAGTGATCCAATTTAACTAACGAGGAAAAACAACTGTGACAGGTAGAATGGGAGGAGTTTGTAGTGTTGCATGATGTGTGGCAGCGACACAGGACGAAGTGATGGGTTGTGTATAGTGTGTTAACCAGTCTGGGAGGTGTGTTGGCACTAGTCAGTAGTCATTCGTGTGATATGTCAACTGTGGTGGAGGACTGCCCCCTCCCTTTGCCTGGTGTAATGGTAGGGACCCCGGTTAGTGTAATAGCAAGGACTCCGCCTGATGTAGTGGTAAGGACCCACACCTGGTGTGGTGGTAGGGGCCCACACCTGGTGTAGTGGTAGGGACTCCCGCCTGGTGTAATGGTAACCATGACAACCGAGAAAGTTAGAACAAACTTTCCTCGTCAACATGATTTACCTCCCACCTGCTGGGCCGTTTGTCCCCGTTCCCTCCCTCTTTCTCCTTTTTCCCTCCCTCACTATTCCTCTCACCACCCACCCTCCCTCCCTCTCTTTTTCTCACCGTCCTACCTCTTCTCCGTCTTCTCGTCTCCCCGCCCCCCTTTTCCTTCTTCCTCTCCCCTCCATCCCTCCCTCTTTCTCCCCTCCCCCCTTCCTCTATCCTCCTTTACTCCCCTCAGAGAGAGCTGCTGTTCTCCACGCTACTGTTAACACTGTCCCTCCTGCACCCGGGTATAGTGGTCATTGTGTCGTTTATGTATTTTCTTGTAATAGTTCTTTCTGTTCTCTCCTCTGCCTGGCCACCTTGACCCCGTGAACTGCACCGGTGACCTATTGCTGCTGCCTGGCACCTGTTACTGCTGCCTGGCACCTGTTACTGCTGCCTGACACCTATTCCTGCTCCCTGGCGACCCGTTGCTCCTGACGACGCTATGGGTGAGGGAACAGATGATCCTGGAGCCCCCGCTACCGTCGTCGGACCTGAGGGTGAGCCTCCCGCTCATCATCGGCTCAGTGCCTCTCAGGAACCGTTTCTCCTCTTTCCTCCCGCCCGGCGAGACCCGCAAACCCACCGGCCTCCCTGGCATCAAGTACAAAAACTACCGTAAGTGTCCGCTACCGTCTGTCACCTACACCACAGTACTCGCCCACCACTTACACACAGCACAGCACCCGTCCCGTACATAAATACGCAGCACAACACCACAGCAAACACACAGCACAGTTAACTATCAACCACCGTCCACTAGTTAACTCCCCGAAACTAGTTAATTATCCACTACTAGTTAAATATCCACTATTAGTTAAATATCCACTTAGTTAACTATCCACCAGTAGGTTAGCTATCCACTACTAGTTAACTATCGACTCCTAGTTAACTATCCACCAGTAGGTTAACTATCCACTACTAGTTAACTATTAACCACTACTTTAACTCCAGTACTAGTAACTATCCACTATCCGTCACTAACTACTCACGTCGCCTCCTGACAGCCTCCTACTGGTTCGGGGAGTGTATGTTCGGCAAGGAGTTCCTGGAGAGTCAGTACGAGCGAGTGACGGGTATGCATGAGGATTACGGCCCTCAGTACACAGCCCTCACGCCCTTTGCCCCTAACTACATCTGCTACACGACTGGCAACAACGTCGACGAAGAGGACCGATGACGCACGAACGTTCCCTCCCACCCGCTGACGCCCTGGTACACTATGAAGTTCTATCTGGAGGTTCTACATGTTATGGCGCGGTGTTTGATCCTGTGGAAAGCTATGTTACACCATGACGGATTTGTCTGTCGATTTTGTGGTTTATGGTTCATTTTTACGACTCGTGTCGTAGTGTGACTTTGTGACGTTGCATGGGCGAGTGAAGGAATACGAGTCCGTGACAGTGTGGTCTATTGACATAGTTGGAACAGTAAGGCAAAAGCAGCAACATTCTGGAGGAGCCAAATCTTGTAGTGGTAATGGCCCGGACACTCCAGGGCTGCCAGCACAACCAATACCATCATCAAAGTGGAGTGACAGTCCTATCTAATCATTTATAATTGATGGCGGACCATTGTAATTACTAACTTTGTTACGCGCTTAGATCTTAGTTGTTGAAGCGCAGTAATAACGCCAAGTGGAGTGAAATAATAAGAACGATATTGACACTGATATATATTTGTACTGTACTACTTTTTTCTTGACCTCAAGAGGCACAATTATTTCTGTTTTATAAGGTTCACTATTTTGAACTTTCCTGATGATCGTGGCCTTCAATATTCATAAAATTAAATGTCCACAACAGCTCTCAAATGAAATGTTTTACTTAAAGAATTAAAGTGACAAAACGTGTGATAATGGCCTCATGGCACCAGAGGACAGATTTGTTCTCCCATCGCCTGAGGCTGCCTCCCTGAGCTCTCTCAACCTCATGTAAAAAAATATATATATATATATATATATATATATAAAATATATATATATATATATATATATATATATATATATATATATATATATATATATATATATATATATATATATATATATATATATATATGAGTATTATTATACCTGTATATCGTGTAAGTTCTAAAGTTCTACTTGTGATATATATTATCATATATCGTATTAGTTTTAAAGTTCTACTGGTGATGTATAATTATAAGTATCACAGACATAGTACACACTTAAAGCTGTTAAGTGATTACAAGTGATAAATAGTTACGAGTCATAGAGAACAGTAGTTTACTGTATATACAGCTATACGCGACTTCAGTACAAGTGATTCATGACTTCATGTGATAATAACCGTCTTGATCCAGAAAATTATGTTTAGTACACACATCTTACCATGCAAATAACAGGGTGTCTATCATGTCCGTTTGCACTTTTAAACTTTAATAACGCTTTATATACATTATAGAAACAATCTGTACATGGCACATAAGAACAAAATGGATAAGATTTAGTACCATTTAGTTTACCGTCCTCATACCTGAGGGTTGGTGACCACGGTCCTCCACTCTAAACGTTCTCGGGCTGTTTTTACCAATCCTCTAAGGTTTTGTATCTCTCTGGGGACCCAGTGTTTCATCCATCCCAGTCTCTGCCTTCCCCTGGCCCTCCCACCCTCATCTTAAAACCATTAATATTTCGGTTATTTCCTCTCATCATCTAATTATATGACCAAAGCACCACTTTTTCATTTTCTGTACATTTTAAGTATTTATCTTGAAGTTATGGTAATTTGATTGCTTCTTCGTTGGTTTTCCTGTCGGTGGAGCTTATTCTTAGCATTCGCCTATAACACCACATTTCAAAGGCTCACCCAACCTCTTTCTGGTGTCTCCTGAAAGTGTCCACGCTTCTAACCCATACAACAGTCCTTACCATATAATGCCTTTCAACAACCTTTTTCTCAAACTGAAGTTAATGTCCATTTTCATTAGGTCTTTTAGATTAAATGCGGTTTTGCTTGCCATATTTTTGTTTTAATTTCTTCCGTACGTCTCCCATCACAGTTAATGTTACTTCCCCAAATACACAAAATTTTCCACTTGTTTAAGTACCCTTTTGCCTACCATAATTTTTTTTAGGAATTATATTTACAAAGTATAGTTACAAGTTCTGGATATGAATGAAGTAATTGTGCAAAACAGTATTAAATTTGCCTCTTATTTACAGATCGTCTTTATCGGTGGGGTCCGATGGATGTGAAAATGAACACTGCGATTCCTGTTGTCTTGGCAGGGTTGCAAAAATCATTTGTCCGTTGTGTCATATTGTCTAGCAAAAAAATTTGCATATATTTTTTGCAGCGAGTGTACAGTAGTACATACAAACTTTTTGTGGTTTATAAGTGCACACGGACTTAATAACCACTTGTGTTTATGATTTTTGGATGGCACAAAAACTTAGCTTTAATGTTTTAAATTACCAGGGGCACATAATTGCCGGTATTGTGATATTTTTTTAAACGATGTACCAGATATACAAGCAAGAAGGTCAGTGTTAAAAAGAGTACCACGAACAGGACCGCGACGTGAACCAACCGAATATTTCCAGACAAGGTTCCATAGGTTAGGTCCGGGCTATCTGCTTTGAATATTTATTTAGCCGTCTTCTAGGTGATATACTTCTAACACTGGTCGTTCTACAGTTTATAATGTCTTTACCGTACAATGTATAAAAGTAAAAATCAAATTGTGTCCGTCATGTTTTAACCCTCCTGAGGCTACAGTAAACGTAAACAGAGTTGCCAAGTTGTGACCTTCAGCATATTAGTATTGATGTCATTGTAGTGAACATTAGTATAGAAATTTGTTCTCATGATTTATATATTGTTATTTAAAAATTAACTAAAATTTCGTGTGAATTAGATAAGTTTGGGTTGATGTACAAGATTCATATTGTTTAAGTATTTGACTAATTTTACAAAGTTCCCGAGAAACTGCCGAAGGTTACTTAGTCGTTCTTTGTTCCTCAGGGGAGTATTACAGATTGTTATAGTTACTACACTTGAATCTTATCTTCAGCATTTGGCGTACTTTAGACCAAAGGTTTCCCCTGAACCACCTCAAACGCACTGCAGCCTCGTCCACTTTGTTTACCCTGACTTATGATACCATATTACTGAAACAATTTGCGGCGTGGTTCTTTGTACTCATTTTTTACTCTCACTTATAATCAAGTTTATACTCTGATCTATATTCAGTGAAGCTCTTCCAATATGCATCATATTTCCTCGTGTATTTTTTATTGTTTGCGCCGGGGGAGCAGATAGTCGTCATCGTGCCACACACACACTCACACCTTGGTAAAATGTTAGTTGCTTTTCTTTTGGTGTGCACGTCCGGTCTTACGCATTTACTGGTGTAAATCTACGATCTTTCACCAGCAAAACACTTCAACAACCATTAACAATTTCAGCACAGTTCGTTGTAACTCTGAACAAAGGGATGCGAATGGGAGTCCTATATACTTGTATAAAGACTAGCACATATAATCTCGCAATTGGAATTTCTCCTGCGATTCCAAATCCTTGTTGTCCCCAGCGGCCACTGACTTCGTACAGGTAGGTTGTCCTCATTTGTGGAGGAGTACCACCGACAGACAGCAGCAGCAGCAGGTCCCGGCCGGAAGGTGTAACAGTAAGTAGCTCAGGTGAGGGCCGCGGCCGTATCTGAGTGTTGTCATTCTCTGCCACCACTAATAAGTACTGTATTTATCTTGCCCAACCGTCTGTCTGCCACAAATAACGTGCACTACAGAATTGCAAATGATTTTATGAAAGTGAAAACATTTTCTTTACAACACATTAACGTGAGTTTATTCCTCGAGAGTTACACACGAATGAATTTATCAATATACAGTAGGTGGGGGTATCCGTGTTCTGCGTCATGTGTGAGTGTGGGGTATCCGTGTTTGGTTTGGCTAGGTTATCGGTTGTTCCCATTTTATTGGGAACTTCGTGTTTTCTTCTTTCCTTGTGGTTATCAGCATATATATATATATATATATATATATATATATATATATATATATATATATATATATATATATATATATATATATATATATATATACTTTATCTTGATTCAGACCACCCACTAGACTGCTGCTGCTGCTGCTCGGTGAATGTGCACTCCATCATACCTTCACCTGTCCGTGTTCTCTGTTACTTGATTATCTCCTATTTTGTATCATGAACATTTTCAATAAAGTGCTGTTTTGTATAATGAACTGTGTATCATTATGCCACTACTCTCACATACACACCACTACCTTCACATACACACCACACCACTACCTTCACATACACACCACACCACTACCTTCACATACACACCACACCACTACCTTCACATACACACCACACCACTACCTTCACATACACACCACACCTATTCACATACACACACACAACTTTCACATACACACACACACACAACTACCTTCACATACACACCACACAACTACCTTCACATACACACCACACAACTACCTTCACATACACACCACTACCCCCACATACACACCACACAACTACCTTCACATACACACCACACCCTCACATACACACCACTACCCCCACATACACACCACACCACTACCCTAACATACACACCACTACCCTCACACACACACACACACACACTACTAATACTACAACTACTTTCTTAGCTGTCACTCGGAATCCAGTATGACGATCATCCAGCTATGATAAAATGATAGGAGTGATTATCGATGTCACCTTCGTTAGTGAGCTCTGAGGTCATTAGAGAAGCCAATATGAGACCGGCAGAGTCGTTCAGAGATGTTGCACATGTGGAGGGCTACATCTAGTGCATGAGGAGCGGCAGCAGCGTCTTTCCGGCGTTGGTGCTTGTCTCCTTTGGTTTGCAGTCAGGTTAACTCAAAAGTATTGACACCCTTCTCGCGTGGTGCTCCTCAAAGTGCTACGGTGTTGAGTAATTGTCTCCCAAGTAAGGGGGGTCGATTTGGCACTTTTTCAAGTTTGTCTTAGGGCTATCCTTATACCTTTTCAGTTACCCGCCAGCGTTGTTTACTTTTCGTTAGGTGACATTAAAGTGGCTGCTTTGGCAGTCTACTGCCTTCCATGCGTAGCTGTTCATGAATAATGGTAGCCTCGATGCTCCTACAGTTGGTGTCAGCGAGAACACTGGCATTTATTCTCTTGTCTTCCCAGCGAACTCGGAGAATGGAACGCAGACTACGTTGGTGAAGGTTTTCAAGTGCATTGAGGAGCCTCCTGTATGTGATCCATGTCTCGCTGCCGTATAGCAGGATAGGGAGGACCACTGATCGACATAAGTGCAATCTCGTAAATAATTTCAGCTTCCTATAGCTGAAGACACGGGTATGGAGTCTGCCAAAAGCTTGAGGTGCACATTTGATCCGATGTTGAATCTCATCGTCGATGTCCGCGGTGTTGGACAGCTGGGAGCCGAGATACCGAAAGTGGATAATATTAGAGACGGTAGTACCGGTAAGCTGGATTGATGGTGGAGGTGTGGCTGAACCAGGGTCAGGCTGAAAGAGAATCCGAGGCTTACGTACATTCACCTGAAGGCCGAAGTGTGCATAAGCATCTGCGTAGGTGTTCAGGATCTCCCGATGGTCACGTTCAGTGTGTGCGACAAGGGTGAGGTCGTCTGCATACTGAAGTTCAGAAATGGAAACTGCCGTCAACTTTGTTCCTGCCTGGAGTCGTCTTGTGTTGAAAAGACCCTTCATCCGGTACTGGATGTCTACCTTGCTGGCTACATTGTCACGAGTAAGGAAGGCAG